TCCCCTGAAGCCCCCCTTGCTCTGGGAGGCTGCACGTGCTGCTCAGGATTGTGTTTTCAAGGGCACTGTGGATTTTACACGCATTTCTGTAGGGATGGTAGTTTTCACCATTGAAACTGGTCCTGCACATCTACACTGGTTTAGACACAGGAGTACAAGTGTGCTTCACTATTAGGAAATCAGTTAATATGATTTACTGCCTTAACAGATCAAAGGGAAAACCCTATGATCACCTAAAAAAATGCAGGACAACAGTTAATAAATCAACACCCATTCATATTTTTTGAAAAATCGAAAGACAAACTTACTAACAAGGGGAGGCCTCCGTAACCCAATAAAGTATGCCTTCAAAATTCTCTTTAAAACATTGTATTACTTAGCAAGACCCTATCTCAAAATAAAAAAGGCTGCAGATGTAGCTCTGTGCAAAGGCCCTGGACTCAGTCCCCAAGCCCCACCCCCAAAATGTATTTCAGACTATGAAAAATAAATGATTATATGTAATGATCACAATCAGGGAAGATAGAAAGATGCCTGCTTTTCCTGCTCAGATGCACCGTCATGCTAAATAAGTCAGCCCACTGCCAAGGCAAAGGTGGGAAGAGCCTGGCAGTTAAGAATGTGAACTCTGGCCTCTGGCTGCCAGGGTTGCAATTCCAACCGTGCCTGTTCCTGTGTGACCCTAAGCAAGTTATTTAACTTTTCCCTGCCTCTATTTTTTTCCATCTGAAAAACAAATGGGAACGATAGGACATAGCACATAGGGTTCTTGTTGTAAACTGTATGTATGGACTTAGAACAATGTCTGACATATATTACATGCTGTATATGAAGGTTGCCATTATTATTCAAAAGAAGTGCCTTTAGAATCCGCAAACAAGTACTGAAACTGAGGGGAACTGAGCAAGGGTTCTGGATATAAGATACAAAACTGAAAACTGTGCTGGGCATGATGGCACATGCCTGTAATCCCACCTGTCTGGGAGGCTGAGGCAGAAACATGGAGCCCAGCCTGGGAAACTTAGTGAGAACTCGTCTCAAAATTTAAACATTAAAATAGATGAAAATGTAGCTCAGTACTCTCGGCTTCAAATCCTAGTATTGCTAAAAGTAATTTTAAAAATTAATAAAAACAATAACTTCTGTATATATTAGCAGAAGCAAAGTTAGAAAACATAATTATTTCATTTAATTTTGGTTTTGTTGCTGAGGATTGAATATGTGCTAACCATATATTCTACCACTAAGCTACACTCCTGCCCCAGAAAATTGAATTTTTAAAATGACCATTTGAAATAAGTGGCTCATTTATTTATTTTCCTGAATAAATCTAACAAATATTAATGATCTTTAGAAAAGAAATTACAAACTGCTATTGACGTATATTGAAGGAAGATTTAAATTAATGGAACTATATGCCATATTTATAAATTGTCACATTTACTCCTATAAAGCTAATAACTGTCCCTAAATTGTGCAGTAGATTTAATCTGCTTCCAATCAAATTGCAACAGGATTTTCACGGACATTGACAAGCTGATTCTAAAACATACAGGAAGGAGGGAAAGACCTAGAAATCCAAGACATTGACTGGTGTTGGCAGGAGTGTTACCCAACCAGATGTCAAGCTACTTCGAATACCCTGGTGAATAAAAGTGTAAGATTAGACCAACAGACAGAAGCGAGGGCCTGCAAACCGGTCCACATGCTACCAGAAACTTGATGGACCACAGAAGCAGTGCTGCGGGCCCCTGGGGGAAAGATATATTCAATAAGAAGCACTGAGACCATCAGTAATTCACAAAGAGAAGGAATTACAAATGAATCCCCAAATCACACTGAAAACAGAAATCAACCTCAGGTGGATTAAAGACTTAAATGCAAAAAGCAAAACTAAGTGCTTTGGAAGATGACAGAAAGGGTGATCTCAGATTCAGCTTGGGAATTGCTTCAGCCTCCTGGACCCCTGTCTGTACAACTGTCTGTATCCCTCCAAATGCCCTGGAATCAGCTCAATCCCTTTCTCACACCTGAAATCCATTCATTAGCATCATCTGCTCTACCTTACACTCACAGCCATACCCCACCTTGCCACAATGCTTCACCTACACCATTCCCTGCCCTGCATTCCACCAGGGTGGCCTTCAAACATGTGCAGTGCACCAGCTCAGCTCCCTAATCTGTGCTACAGTCTGGATCTGGATGTCACCAAAGGCCACTGTTCAACTCTTTGTCCCCAGCATTGAGCTATTGGGAAGTGGTGGGGAACATAAAGAAGTGGGGTGTATCCCCCAAATAAAAGATCCAATCAAAAAATGGGCAAGTGAAATAGACACTTCACAGAAGAACTACAAATGGACAATCAATACATGAAGAAAACCTTAACATCGCTGGCCATTAGAGAAATGCAAATTAAAACACTGAGAGTTGGGCCCAGGGATTTAGAGTGGCACCGTGCCTGCCTTGCAAGCTCAAGGTCTTGAGTTCGAGCCCTGGTACCCCCCACACACAAAAACAACAACAACCACAAAAAACCACTGAGGCTCCACCTTACCCCAGAAAGAATGGCCATCATGGTCACCATCAAAAAATTAAATAATGACAAAATTGGTGAGGCTTTGTGGAGGAAAGGAACCCTCTACATTGTCAGTGGGGATGTAAACTAGTACAACCACTATGGAAATCAGTATTCCTCAAAAAACTAAAACCAGAAATTCCATTTGACCTCAGCTTTTCCCTTTCTAGGCATCTTCCTGAAAGAGCTAAAGATATCATATTATAGGGACACACGCATACCCATATTTATAGCAGGACAACTCATAATAGCTAAAGCTTGGTAGCAGCCTATATGCCCATCAACAGATGAATGGATAAAGAAAATGTGGTTTTACACACAAGGGAGTACTACCCTGCCATGAAGGAGAACAAACTTGAGTCATTTGTAAGAAAATGGATGCACCTCAAGACCATCACGTTAAGTGAGATAAATCAGACATATAAGCTTAAATATTGCATAGTGTCTTTTATGTGAGAAATTCAAAGTATAAATAAAGAACAAAATGAAAGATAATAGGAATCAGGGAGACAGATCTTTCTCAAATGGGAAGGGGATCAAGAGAGGATTGAAAAGGGAGGGAGGAGGGGGAAAGGAGAGGAAAAATGGAATGAAGATGTGTTATGTACATGCAGCAACTCCACACGAGGAGGGTAAACAGCATGTACTGCAAACATGTGCAAATAAACAAATAAACAAATAAGAAGCACCTGGGGAAATCAGAAGCCAGGTCTGTTGGAGGTTTAAGCTCACTGGGGCATCCGCTCAAAGGGGATCGTGGGAGCCCAGCTTCTTTCTCTTCCTCTTTTCCATTCCTGGGCCGCGAGGTGAGCAGCTTTTTCCCCTCACTCTCTCCCTACCACCATGTGATGCCTCCAGCAGGCCCAAAGCAGTGAAATCCCCACAACTGCGGGCCAAAATAACCCTTTTCTCTATATAAGCTGGACATTTGTTACAGTAAGAGAAAGCTGACCAACACCACCAAGCCACCATCTCCTGCTGCGCCTGGATTTTCACCGTCACCTCCTCACTGGTCTCCCATTCCTGCCCCTATTCTAACACAGCACCTGGAATGGTCTTTTTACCTAAGTCTGGCAGGGCCATTCTGCTTACAGCCCCAGTGTGGCTTCCTATCTCACTCAGGAAAAAACCTTCCTCACCTGCTTCCCCTCCAATTTCCCCTCCCACACCTGCCTCGCCAGACCCCAGCAGCAAGTGCCAAGACCAACCCAGGCACGTGGACCCCGGGCAGGATACACGGACGGGGACAGTGACAGTAGTGAGCCGCCGCTGTTCCCAGTGTTTGGCAGTTTCCAGAGGGTAAACACTGCCACCATGGCCAATCTTAAGATAGCATTGAAATGCCAGTCAGTTAGGAACTGTAACAATTGACCCTTGTGAGCTGGTGCAAGCTGATCCACAGAGTCCAGGGCACCCTTGGCACGGTGCTCCTGGCCAGGTTGTGCGGTGGGGTGTGGGTGCTATGTTGTTGCTGTTATTCTCTTATTGTTTATGTAGAAGTTTTCATGCAGGGCTGTATGTTAGGACTATAGGTGATCACTGTTCAAGAGCCAGGGGGGAGGCGGGACCCTGGGGCCCAGAACGGGACAATATGAGCTGTGTTCTCGCCCCCTCCCCCAGTACCACTCTCCTCCAAACTCAAAGCAAAACTCAGAAACGTTTCCAGGGTGAGGAGTCTGGTTCCTCGGTTGACTGGGAGCCGAGCCAGGTAGGGGAGGTCAGCCAGCGCCTGGAGCTCTGGAGATGGTAAGGGAGGAAAGAGCCACAGAAAGCTGACCTTCCACAGTGAGGCCACACTGCAGTGGGGCCCAAGAGGAGGCCCGTGTGCCGGCCGTGACCCTACATGCGCACTATGGGAAGTCCTCCCTCAGTCTATAGCATCACAGTGGGGAAGCTCCTGACCTCGTGCTGAGGACAGACCACAGGGTCAGAAGAAAACCTTGGATCTGAGTCCCAGATCCACCTCAGATTACTAAGAGGTCTCGGGCAACTAGCCTCAAATCCACCTATAAAAGGAACCTACTGGCTGGGACCACCACTTGCCCTAGCCAGGAAGGGCTGCGTGGACCCAAATGAACCCGATACCGTCACTGTGATCAAGGGTGTCAGGCCAGTGGGGCTGGGCCTCCCACTGACAGATTAAGAAGCCAGAAGTGTCCCAGGTATGAGAGCCTGACAGCCACCACCCGGCTGTGTCATATGCACAGCGAAGACAGACTGGCCGGGCACTGGACATTCCCAGCACCTAAGCAGGATGGGCCCAGCGTGGAGGATGCCCTTGGGGTCATGACATGGGTCTCCATGGGGGCTTGCCTTGAGGTCCCAGATCTGTTAGGGGGTGGACACCCCAAGGCTCTCCCTTTCCCTGCTCAATGCCCTGGAGACCATGGGTGTTCCCAGCCCCGACTCTTGCTCTCTGGCTGACCTTGAAATAGGTTGGACTGCATGTTGTACCCCAGATCATGGTAGTCTGAAAAGATGGAGGAGATTTGCACAGGACTCTGGGTCCTGCTGGACCACGGGCTTCTCTTCCTCTGGCCCTCCAAGACTTCACTGATGACCCTCTGAGCCTGGTGAGACAGCCAAAGATGGGAAAGAGGACCAAGTCCCACAGCAGCCCCCTAACTCCCCTCTCTCTGACCCCACCTCACCTCTCACCTGTCCATAGATCGCAGCCCTCAAGACCCTCAGGGCTGAGGAGCTGGAGGATTGGAGGCCCTGCCCAAGCCCCACTTTTCTTCCCTCCCATGTGGGCCAGGGGTGCCAGGGATGGTGATGATCCTAAAGCCTGTCCCCTACATTGAGCCCCACTGTGTGTTGTACCAGGAGGGGGCTCCACAGTGCAATGCTATTCCCAACATTTTTTTTTTTTTTTTGCTACTGAGGATCAAATTTGGGTCCTTGCGCTTCCGAGGCAGGCACCGGAACCACTGAGCTAGATCCCTGGCCCCAATTCCCACCATTTTATACCTGAGGACACTGGGCCTGGGGGGAGGCCAGACTCACCCAGTCCCATGTATAGCTGGGGAGCCAAGAGCCCTGGTTTGCTCCCCACAGTCACAGCATCACACAAAAAAAGCAAAGCCCTTAGCTTTCACTGAGGCCAGTTCCTTCTTTGTAGTAATGGGGACACTGGGGCCTGGGAGTTGAGCCTAGGCCTAGGAGGCAGGAAATCTTGATCGAGTCCCAGTTCTGCCACATAGCAGCTCCTGACTTTGGCAAGTCTCTGCTCCTCTCTGGGCCTCAGTTTCTCTACTTGCAAAATATAGTGGAGGGAAGAACTAGAGGGTCTTTGAACTAGACATTGGCTGGCTCAATATTTGTGACCTGTATCACAGGGCAGAAAAACCAGGTGTTGATTGGAGCCTGGGACAACAGCAGCAACAGCAATGACAAGAGGGGCAGTGAAGGGTCGTGACCACACTGACAATGCAGATGGGGCCACGTCCTTCTGAGGGGTGGGGCAAGGCATTTCAGATTGCAACCTCCCAGATTATCTGATGGGTGGGGTCACTGTATCTTCAGATAACAAATAGGAAAGGAGCCTGGGAGGGGCTGACCTTCAGTCTTAGTGAGCAGGGCTCCTCCCAAGCAGGTCATATCACCTCTCTGGGCCTTGGTTTTACCATGCATTAAAAAGGAAATACTATCTCCTGCCTGGCTAACAGTACCATAGTAGTTGTTATGAAGGTTGAGATACCAGCTCTGATTATGTCTCAGAATGCCAGAGCAGGAAGGATGCTGAGCATTTGACCAGAAATGGCAGGTGAATTTTATCTCTAGTTTCAATTGATTAGAATTGGCTGCCTACAATAGTAGATCAGGTGGGAAAGAGTGTCAGCATCGATTAGTCATGTCTGCCACATATGCAGGATGGGCCAGTTGTAGTCTGTGTGCCATGAATTTGTCAGCCTGATCTAGCCTCTCTGCTTCACTTTACAGATGTAGATACTCATGCCCATGAGGGAAAGTAACTTATTCAAAGTCATCCCACATTCAGGGGCAGAGCCAAGATTCAAACCTAGGTCTTCTGATTCCCAATAAATGCTGTCTGTCCACTAGGTGTTGCCTATCTTTGGAAAACATCCAATTCAAACAAGAGCTGTGTAACTGAAAAGTCATTTGGGCCAAGGAACCAAAATCTGCCCGCTCAGTTTGGATTCTTGTCCCACACAACTGAGTGAACTTGGTTAACTTAACCCATCTTAGCTTTTGGCTCTTTATCCATAAGAAACAGGGATAATAATATGACTGTCCTTGTAGATTTGTTGCAAAGATTGAGTATGTTGTTATATGCAGGAATTTAAATAGTGCTTGGCCCCTGGCACACAGAGGTGCTCAGTAAATACTGTGCTCTGATGCTGCTACTACAGGAATTGCCTCTGGTTTCTTTTGGGTCCTCATTGAGTGCCCCACCACACCCTTAGCCTCCAGGCCCCTGCATGGACACCTGCTCCTTGAAGACCAGCTGATCCACCTCTTGGCTCCCAAACTTGTGGCGAATGTTGTTGGGGATGACGCTGCTCTTCTGGCTGGGAGGTGAACTCCTCAGTTCCTGGGTCTTCGAGTTGAGGACATCGTCCTGCTGAGGCCCCTTGAGAAGGGAAATGAAGTTCTCCCTGGAGGAGGGTCTGGAGCCCCGCTTCTTCAGGGTCCCGGGCCCTGGGCTGATCCCCAGAAAGTCCTTGCTGGCAGGGCTTGGCAGGGGAGGCTGGGCTTCCTCTAGGAGGTCCTGTCCTTGGGAGCTGCCTCTGGAGCTTGAAGACAGAGAGGTCTGGCTCTTGAACTTGGAGGTATCCATGCTCGGGAGGCACCCCTTGCTGCTGTTCAGGGGGCTTCTGGTCAAAGGGGTTGCAACTGAACTCAGAGAAGAGAGACAGAGAGGGAGGGAGGGAAGGAGACTCACAGACAGATGCAGGACGGGGACAAGAGGCAGGTGGGGTGGGGGAGTCACAGACACAGCCCCAGAGAGCCACGGGCAGGACCAGGGAGAGGGACAGAGAGAGATGGGTGAGAAACAAGAGAGACAGAGAAGTGGGCAGATTTCCCAGAGGCCAGGGCTGTCTCACACTGCTTTTGACATTTGGGGCTATAGCCCCTGCCTGTCCAGCCTTGAGGCCTAGTCTTGTGGTCTAACAGCAGTGTTTTCTCTTAGACACACAGAAATAATGGTGCATCTTATAGCCATTGGATGGCAACTTAGAACACATGTTTTGTTTGGTTTGTTTTGGGGTCCTGGAAATTAAACCCACGGCCTTCCCACTGAGTGACATCCTTTTTCTTTTCTTTTTTTTTTTATTTTTGTACTGGGGATTGAACTCGGGTCCTTGTGCTTGCACAGCAGGCAGAGAAACCACTGAGCTAAATCCCCGGCCCTCTGAGTGACATCCTTAGCCCATTTTATTTATCTATTTATTTTTTGAGACAGGGTCCTGCTACATTGCCCAGGTTTGGTTCAAACTCACAATCCTCTTGCCTCAGCCGCCCAGAATGTTGGGATTACAGGCCTGCATCACCACACCTGGGCTGAACATGTTTGACATAACACCAACAAGTATGCACACTCTGTCTCAGTGTGCAAAGTACGGAGGCCAAGCCCCTGCCCGCCTGCTGCCACCCTCACCCTGGGTCACAGCTGTAAACTGGTGAGCTTCCCTCCAAGCCACTCCAGAAGGGTCCTCTGATTGTCCTCTTAAAAGATACCTAGTTTTGTTTCACTTCTGTCTATAAATGAGATCAGAGTCTATGTGTTGCTGTTATAAACCAAGCCAGCACTTGGGGCCTCTGTTCTGCAGCACCGAAGGCCAAGCTTGCCCTCCCACCCCAGCATCCCTGCTGTTCTTCTCTCTGGTCACTGGACCTGCACCTTGGTCCAGTTTAATTTTTTTTAAAGGCAGCTGGGTATGCATTGCTCCTGGAAGGGACGTAAATTATTGGGAGTCAGAGGATGGACAATGGCAGGTGCTGAATGTCCGTAGTGACCCCTGTGTCTCAGGGTAACCCCCTCCCCTGGGTGTGGGTGACCTAGTAACTTGTTCTAACCAACAGAACAGGGCCAGTTAAGCAATGTCACCTCCAAGCTGCACCAGACGGACTCTTGTCTTGTTCACACACTGTCTTGAGATGCTGCTTGCTCTTTGCTCCAATTGGACCCAGGGACCCTGTGGAGAAGCCCACGTAGCAAAAAGTGAAAGGGCTCATGGCTGCCAGCTTGTGAGGAGCTGAGACCTGCATGTGACCAATCCCGGAAGAGGATCCTTCTCCAGTTGACCCTTGAGGTTGAGTCCCAGCATCTGCACCTGTATCCCCGACCCTTGGGACTAGAAGATGATGAATGCTATCATTTTAAACCACTGCCTTCCAGCATGACTTGTTACACGGCAAAGGTGATCAATACAACACCTATGTCAGGCCCTCGCACAATGGATGCAGCTTCACAAGGCCTGGTAAAGTGTTCCGAGTAATTATGATGGCAAAAGTGAGGGTCAGAGAATAAGTAGAAGGTGAGCATGGTGGGCACACTCATAATCTCAGCACTTGGGAGGCTGAGGCAGGAGGAGTGCTGTGGGTTTGGGGTAAGCCTGGGCCTAAAAACTACATAGTGAGATGCTGTCGCAAGAAACCAAAACCAAAAAGAGCAAGAGGGTTACACAGGTGGCACTAAGAGCTGCACATCTTCAAGTTAGCTTAAGTTCAAGTTAGCTTTCTCCTCCTGTGTCACCCCCACCCCAGCCACTGCCCCTTTGATGTGCACCCTGGTGCCCCCTCTCTGCCCCAAAGCCACTGCCAGTCGCGAGTGGCATGGCCTGGCTGGCAAAGAAGGGCAGACTCCTTGCCAGTTCTGACCTGGGAGGAAGGTCCCAAGTGCCCGTGGTCAAGGCGGGTGGTGGGTCCAGCTGCACCCGGCGCTTGTCACTCAGGAGCCACCTTGAGTGGGGAGAGAGCAGGTGAGATCTCAGGGCCTAGAGAACCCTGCTCACCTCCAGGTCTTGGCCTCACCTCCTGTCTGTTTTTCATAACTTCAGAAGGTGCAGGAACCTCCTGAAACCCAGGAGTGCAGACTGCAGCTGCCCAGCAACTGGGGGCACCAAGGGATGCTGCTAGGGAGCACCCTCCCCACTGTTGATTGGAGTTGCCATGGTGACCACCCTTCACAGGGCTCTGTTACCTCAGCGGGCTGATAGGCCACCTGGGGGAGAGGGGCCAGGAGAGAGCAAAGACTGAGGGGCAGGAGGGGCCTTCATGTGTCACCCACTCTCTCATCCACTCAGAAATGTCCACTGAGCACCCATTAAGTGCCAGGTTGTGTGCCAGACATCTAGGGCTCAGGTGCCCCCAAATGCAAAGGAAGTTCTGGGAACGTAAAGGAAATTAGTAGAGTGCCTGACTAGCTCTATAAGGAAAAGGAGCAGGACTCCCAGATGGGTCATTTGAGCAGGATCTTGAAGGCTACATAGGAGCTCAGCAGTTTAGACTGGACTAGAATTTTTAAAGGCATGGGTGTGTTTAAGAGCGGACCTGTAGGTCAAGGGAGAGGGGAGGGTGGGGCCCTCACTGTTGGAGCCAATGCACAGGGATCAGGGACCAGGCATTAAAATGAAAGCAGGATGGGCCAGCAAGGGCCTTCCCCTTCCCTGTGAATCACAGGGCTGCCGACGGAGGTTAACACAGTAGACGGATGCCTTTTCTACAGAGTGAGAGGAAACAGCAGGCATCGCAGGAGCGCTGGCTGCCTCTGTGTCCCTCAGCAAGGACAGGGGCAGGGGTGGGAATGGGAGTACCTGAGTGGTATCCCCTTTAGGAACTGCTGGGCACAGTGCCTGGCCCAGAGAGAAGTCACACACGGCACCAAGGTCACTGCACAGCCACCTGCCCGCCAACCCTTACCGTATCCAGGCTTCCATCCTTGAGTCCACCTCTGCCCCCAGCCCTGGTCCTGGTCACCCCTCCCCTATCTTGGGTGACACAATGGCCTCTGCATTCGTCTGCTTTTTCCTTTTGTCCCAGTATGAATTATGCATCGCTGCACAGCCATCCTCCCACAAGCCTAGCAGTCACCACTCATGTGTTATCTCTGTTTCCGTGGGGCAAGGAGTTGAGCACGAACTGGCTGGATTCTCCGCTTTGGGGTCTCAGAAGGTTACAATTAAGGTATTGGCGGGGCTGCAGTCTCATCCGAGGCTCCCCTGGGGACAAATGTGCCTCCAAGCTCACGTGGTCGCCGGCAGGACAGTTCCCGTGGCCTCTCGGACTGAGCAACCAACCTCAGTTCCTTGGTGTGTGGGCCCCCAACGTGCCACTGGGCTCCTCAAAGCCTTTCTTGTCCTCCACCCTCTCCTCTGACACCGGCTCCTCCATCTCTCCCTGCGCACCTGTCATGTTGCCTCAATGGTTTCTTTTTCTTTCTTTTTCTTTTTTTTTTTTGGTACCTGGGATCAAACTCTCAGGACCTTGCGCTTGCAAGGCAGGCGGTGGCACCACTGAGCTAAATCCTCGGTCCTCCACAACGGTCTTTTAAACAGGCTAAACACAGTGCCCTCTGGGCCTTTGCATGCCTAGTTCCCTCTGCTGCAACTTCCTTTCCTCAGACATCTGCAGGGCTTTCTTCTCCACTTCCGCCAGGACTCTGTACTTCTGGGACCTCCCATTTTAAGAAGCAACCTCCCTTCCACACCCCTTATTACCTTGCCTTACCTTTCCTGCTGCGCTCTACTTCACCTCCTGCCGCACTCGGCATACGTCTCTTCTGGCTGTGAAGCCCATGTGAAATGGGACCAGGACTGTGTGGTCCCCTGCCCAGTCCCTGGCACCTGGACCTGCACCTGTCTCATGGCAGGTGCTTCCTAAAGGTGCTGACTGAGCAGCCTCGGGAGGGGCAGGAGGCAGAGTTGTCACCACTCCCAGCAGCTGCTTGTAGGCCATCAAGCCACCAGGAGGGACCCAAAGCTGGCATGAGAAGGGCTGCATGGAGCTGAGGGGCCGGGCACACAAGCACCCCGAGCACTGTCTCTGCAGCTCCCACTTCAGCCTCTGTGGATGTCACGGCCTGGGCCTGCGGCCCCAGCCAGGCTCTCTGCTGTTCCAGAGCACCCTTTACCCCAGCGACCAGCTTTGGGGCTGGGTTCCTCCAGCCCAGACATGGTCCCTAGCCCTCTGGGACCCCATTTTAACCCAAGGAGCTGGATAGTGGGGAGTGAGCCAGGAACCCACAATAGATGAGGCCTATAATCTCTCCTGCCACCCCAAGGAGAGTTTTGAGAGCCTGTTTCTGAGAAACAGGGAACAGGAAATGCAGTCTTATGGGGCCTACTGCAGGTGCAGACTTTTCTGCTCCCACCTGCATCCCGGGCCTCTCCTTCCACTCTTTCTAGAGTCTTATTCTGAGTCAAGAAGGGGACCTAGACAGAGGCCGTGCCCCTTCTGACTGCTTCTCAGCACTGTCTTGTGTAAGGCAGAGGACCCCTCTTTGGGCTCTAGTTTGGAAGGAGTTGCCTCCACCCGGGAGGCTGGGCAGGAAGGTGGTGCCCATTAGCCTTGGTTTGCCTGTTTGGCTTCCTGGTACTGTTTCCCACTGGGCCTTTGGGTGTCTGACAGGGGGCAGGAGGAGGCTGCCTGTGCCAAAGCAGGATGATACAACAGTATCCTCAGGGTGGCTTTCCCACAGGGTGCTGGGAGCTTCTTTCCTTGGTGGAGTATAAGGAATGTGAAGGGGAGGGAGGGAGGGAGGGAGCCAGTGCAGAACTCGGGAGAGGCAGGCAGATGAGCTACTCAGAAAAGGCAGTTTATTCCAGTGCTTTGAGGAACAGCAAGCTCTGCACAGAAATTCTAAAAAATGTGTCAATCTCCTTTGCCTAAGAACCAGCTGCAGGTCACGCCGGGGTCACTAACCTGGGGCAGGTGGGTGAGACAGTGCACAGAGGACAGAGCTGCTCAGGCCTTCCCGCCCTTCCCCTGGGACACACGGGTTTCCGGGGGTGCCCGGCGGAACCACTCCGACCAGGAGCCGTCATAGACGGCCACATCAGGCTTGCCACAGAGGTAGGCAGCCAGGGCGATGTGGCAGGCGGTGACGCCCTTGCGGCATGTGGCCATGAGGGGCTGGGTGAGGTCCACCTGCTTGGCCTGGAACATGGCGGACAGCTCCTCGGGGCTCTTCTCAAAGCCATCCTTGGTCAGAAAGTCCATGAAGGGCATGTTCACTGAGCCACGGATGTGGCCCGAGCCCAGTCCTGGGGAGGGACAGAGGACATCGGTCAGGGAAGGCATGGGGAGGGTGGGGACTAATGAGACCCAGAAGCTGCCAGCAGCCATGACCAGCACAGGGAGCTTTGCAAATAGAAATAATGCCTTTGCGCTTTCTGGCGCTCAGTTGAGTCTCACCCCTGATGCTGATGCTCAAGTCTTAAAACACCTGCACCCCCTTCTAAAGCCTGTCTTGAAGGAGGGATGTCTGAAATCATACTGCTCAGGAAGTCAGGGGCATGTTTGAGCACTGGCTCGCCCAACTAGCTAACCATTTCACTAGGCTTTTCCTTGGGCAAACCTCTCTACACCTCAGTTTTGCTGTCTGTAAAATGACACAGTGGTACAGCCCTGCCTCAAGGGATTGTGGAAAACAGCAAATAGGACAAACTGCTGCAGATGCTCTGTGCTGTGGTGATTGCCGAGAACATCGTGTGAAAGAGAAACAGAGGCCCGGTCCTCGGGGGGATTAGAATCCAGGAAGACAGATGCTAGATGACTTTATCATAAATCCAGCATGATGTCACTCCACCTGACAAGTGAATACACTGGGCTTTACAAAACCAAATGGCTCACCTAGGGCTACCCGGAGAGGATGACACTGGTTCCCTGGTTTTCCTGTGAGGCACACAGTTGTGAAGAGTGCGTGTGTGACCTGGTGTTAGACATAAGTTCAAGTCCCAGCTCTACCACTTGCTGGCTGGGTGACCTTAAGCCTTGGTTTCCCTGAGGGTAAAATGGGAATAAGAGTATGCCTGTGAGCATGGGGGAAATGACACAGAAAAGCATGGACTACTGAGGCCGGCCCACCCACAGGACCCCAGCCGTGGTCAGGTGCCCTGCATGCCCAGGCTGCTGCTCTTCCCAGGCACCCTGCACCACAGACACTGGGCACTGGGAGGGGACCCCACTCAGGTTTACCTCCATCTTTCTGGGCTCTGCTTCCTCCCCAAATCCAACTACCACATTAAACCCAGCCTATGGGGGAGAGCAGGCCCTGATGACAGGAGTGGGAGGGAAAGGATCTGCCTGGAGTGACCAAGCCACATGCTGGAGCCATCTGCAGCAGTATGCAGCCAGGCAGGCCCTGCCCCTCTGAGCCTCAGTCACCCCTCCTGTTTAATGGGGAGAGAGACCCCTCAAACCTCACAAACACCTGGGGAAGTTTACCCACTGCACATAAAAGCCCCTAAGTGACCCCAAGTACACAGCAGGTGCACACTCAAGCCAGAAATGTCCCAGGCCCTCGCCCAGACAAAAACAATTCCACAAGAGTTTCTCTGACTGAACAGACATCCAACTTGTGAACTCCAGCGATATCTTCCTGTTTAAATCTCATCTTTTTTGTCTGGAGACTTTAACTTGAGAACAGATAAGACTCACACTGCTATGAAAAGCAGCTGATCTGCCAGTTTCCAGAACTTTCTTCCTCAAGAAACCCAGCTTTATGTGGTCAGCAATCAGCATGCAGGCGGGGGGGGGGGGGGGGGG